ATATATATATATATATATATATATATATATATATATATATATATATATATATAAATTCTGCTTTGATTCTGAGATCATTTTTGATTCTTGAACAGACATTCATTCAATAAGTGTATGTTGAAAAGTCTGTGCAGTTTTCTTTTAAGAAGATTTTTACGTATTCCACTGTAATATACAGAGATAAATGAAACTGTTGAGTTTCTTGACCATTATTTATATTTTTATTCATAATACACATGAAATTGTGAATTTTTATTACGCGCTCAAATTAATTCCGCGCGCACGTTCGATAACGTCAATCTTAGCACATAAAAAAATTAAACTTGCCAGCAGAGAAATTAAAACTTAATGTTGATTATTCTATATCTTGTGATTTGAAATGATAACGAAATGATAACGAAATATATAGCACCTTAAGTCCTGGTCTAACTATTTTCTGCGGATTTGGACGTGTTTCATTGACAAGAAATTACAGATATAACATCCAAAGATTCTACATTCATATTACATTCATATTACATTCTACATTTAGATCACCGCCATGATCTGGAACGATTGGTATGCCCACGTAGATTTTTAACTCTTTTTTCAGATGTAAACATTTTTTAAATGAAAAATATCTGAATCATTCATGAATTTATTTCACTCGATATATGCAGATAATTCGCTTTAGTTATTCCTTCCCATATACAAAATAGAATAACTAAGGACAGAAAAAGGGACTCTTAAAAGAATTATTTACCAATTTTTCATTCGGGAGCCTCCCTCTTTCTTCCTGTACGTCTCTTGGGAAAAATTAAGCGGCTTCCATTTGATTATTTAACTCTTTAAGGCGCATAATTCATGGAACATTCTAGTAACTTTTTTTAAATAAAATATTATCAAAAACACTCTAAATAGCACATTTATAAGGTTTCAACTGCCCAATCCTAAGTGGTCCCTATTGGTATTAGTGATACTTAAAGGATTATGGAACGAAATTAATAAAAATGAGAGAAAGGATCAAAGCCGTACCGTTGTTCCAAGTTCGCTATCCCTGATAATTTGCCAACATAGGCAATTGCTCGCGCCGATTATCTCTACGTATGCGTCTTCAATTGAGCGCAAGTCAGCTTAAACAAATTTTTTGATTCATCGGCACAAAATCTAGCGATATATCGCGCGACTCTGATCAGCTGCGCGCACTCGAGCGCATTGTGCTGCACGTAACGCTATTTGCGAGTTCGTCCGAAGGTTATCGTCACTATTCGCTCGCTACTCGCACGTGTTACGTGTTATCACGTGGAGGCTCGTCCGGAGGCTCGACCAATCGTATTGTAGAAAGGCGAGACGGTCCCCGCTACGGACGACCTCGTTGACCAGCATGATTATGCTGATTATTATCGCTTCTTTGAACGGTTATCGGCTAGAGTTGGAAGGCTTTTTGCGAGAAGGGGCTCACGTGCCGAGATGCCGGCTCTTGTCCCTGGAATTTTGATCCCGTGACAAGCGAGTCGCTATTCAACGAGAATGGGCGGGTGATGTGACGTCGGCGCCTCTCGTACGTCGTACGAGATTGTCGGTTCCCTCGCGTGATTGCCTCAGTCCAAGAGAGTTTCGCGGAATCCAAGACGAAGCGTTTTATGACTCGCCGTAAGTTTAGCTGACATTGCGTAACGGATGATCGTCAAGTCTGATTCTAAAATAATGTGGAAAATGCAATGTACACGGTTCTTCGCCGTTACAGTCGTGCCTGTCTTCACACGGTTAAAAGAATTAATGAAGGGATGGGAGACACTTGGAATTTTTGCCAAAAGGAAGATAAAAATATAAGAAAATTATTATCCTAAATCACTATATATATTATCACTACCTTAGTCATCATCTTATTTCTCAGAAGCGAATTATGGGGAAATTGAATGGCACAGAAACAATCGACATTACGTGAACTCTTTGCAGAGCGACCAGGATAAATTTGAAAATCCTGCGAATGTATTCGAGGACACTTTAGAAAGGAGGACGCGTCCTCGAGAATCAAGATATCTGGCTTTGTATCCTACCCACTGCAAAAAAAGAAAATATCTATTGTATTAGCAAAAAAGTGACGTGCTCTTCTTCACTTAAATATAAATATAAAATTCCGGATGGATACGCGTGCGGATGGCAGATATACGTTGCGATATCAGTATATCGCTTCAAGTAATTACCAATTGAGATAATGACTCATTGCACCTGCGATCGTAACTTCTACAGCGGAATCGTAGGTTCGAAGAGCTGTAAACATTGCGGACCTAAGAATCTGCACGGGCAATTGCGAGCCGAAGGATCGATTCTACATTCGGAATTGGAATGAAAAGGGAGGTCGGAATGTTGCTTCTAGCTCGTTGACCCCATCGCTTTCTATCATCAGGAGACGTCACCGCGCAGTCGTTCCGTCGCCCGAATCATAAATTTTTATTATCAAATAAAATCGATAAATTGTGTTGTCAAGGATGTCTAGTTACGACGCGCGTGCACACTAATAAACGTTTAATGTCCCATAAGATGCGCAGCTACGCCGATCGTTTCATAAATTTCCGCGCGAACAGCTTTTGCTATCGCTTATTTAATGACACACACATGTCATCTCTGTACGTGTTTGCAACAAAATATAGGTACACTCTTTCCCAAGATTGCCCATTACAAGTTAAACACGAGTACGTAACATTTGGCGAGTAGTACGACGCATTTATATGAGTCAGAATATAAAATGTCATGATTTAGCAAAATTTAAGCAATGTCATCGTAACCGTTTAAAAACGCGGCGCAATGGGCACGCGTTATCAATTTAGATACCATGAAGTTAGTAACTAAGCAATACAGATGCTTAAATTACGTTCTATTTTATCGGACGTCTTTCTAATTGAAAGTAACAGCTACAAATTAATTATATTTATCAAGAAACAGTAAACTTTATAGCTATAATTTAATTACAGTTTCTCTTTCCTTTTCTCTTCTTTCTTTATGTCTTTCTAATTTCGGAATATCTTTTACTTTCGGAAGAGAACGCGGGAAAATTGATCGAATTAATTTCACGAATTAGCAAACTCCTGTGACATTACAGTTTTCGCAGAATTAAATCTAATCGCGTGTTTAGAAAAATATAGTGTTACCGGTACTGATTAGCCGAGAGTATCTGTTTGCATACGCTGTGACGCCTAAGCAAGATAAATATGTTTTATGACGTCATATTTGACAACACTGCTTTCCGATTACACTCGCTTCGGACGTTGATCGCGATGATTCGGCCGGTCGACGGAGTGCACTTTGTACTTCGAGACCGCTAAGTAATCTTTGATCTGTGTCTCTGAAGTCATACTTTCGAATATTTAATATACGACCGATAAGTGTATTTTTGTTTCTCAGACAATTCACAATAACATTGTGCCGTCGTGAGAAAATAATTTCTGTCGCGAATTTTCGCAATCACACACAAAATTTTCATACATATGTTAAAATGGGACAGATACGATCTGCGCTAATTAATTGTCCGATCGTTATCATTGTTATTTAGTTACTGTTGACAAGATGTAAATTTCTATTTTCTGTTGTAAATTTCTATTTTCCTACAATCAATATATATGTTCCGTATACGATACACGATATCGTCAAAATCGATACAAATTTTTTCTGTTTAGCATAGTTTTTTGCTTGGTGACGAGAAATATAATATATTTACGGCTCTCACGGAAGATTTCACGTCAGACGGTAAAACCGGTTCGTAGAAGCGACAATATCATTTTTTATTAACTTAAATATATTAAGTAGAGGATAATCTATTTAGGATTTGATATTACATCATATTAAATGTATTCAACATTTCAACATTTCGCAGTTTAATATTTTATTCAAAAGAGATAATGTGACAAATTGGCCGATATAGTCATAAATAAATATGAAAAATCATATATCTCATTATTAGAGATAATTATTACATTGGCAATCGGATACAGACGAGTAATTGTAAGAATAAAAAGAATTATAATTATAAGAAAATTACGAAAGAATTATCAGAACTTCTTCATGAGCTTTCTTACGATTCACAAATGTGAATTAAACCCTGACCTTTGATAGGACGCGTCGCTTCTTGACGATAACGAGAGTACTGTCATGAGGGCTGCATAATTTCACTTCGGAAAACTGAAGGGCGGCGGATTATTTTCCCATTCGTTGGATAGACCACTCTTGCTGGCAAAGCGGGCACCGATTGTTTTGCTTGACCCAAAGTGACATACAGCAGTAGTGGAACGAATGGTTGCATTCGCCCCACACGACCACACAGTCTTGCCGACCGTACCACTCCTTTTTGCTCTCGGCTTGGCATCGCAAGCAGGCGTCTAAAAATTAAAGAATGAACGGCGGCATTAATGGATGACATTTTGTACAGGGTGTTTTAAAATGAACGGAGAATTCATATAGTAGTTTGCTTTTCTTAATTTGTGGTATAAATCGTTTACTTGAATGAAAAAGCCGAGATCGTCGTGCCTCAAATTTCGATATTTGACATTTAAGTAATTAAAACGTATATTAAAATTCTGTGTAAATATGTTTCTTCACGTTTTATCTATCAGCATTGACAGTAGAAAACATATTTTAACATATTTAAATTATGCATAGAAAAAATGTGAACTTGAATCTGATACTTTGGACTTTCGCGCGGTGTGTGATGAAATGCTTGGTCTGATTTCCGGATTGGTGCCGCGTCTTTCATAGATTTGTTTAGAATTCTATTTATATACATAATTATTTCTACTAAATATCTACCTGGATAAAAGTTTATTAAAATTCTTCTAAAAGTCATAGTTACGATTTTTAAAAGCTTATTAATAGGTTTGTAGGCGGTAAAATACTAAATTATATAGAACAAGATTTTATTATTCTATTATATATATGTAATTATCTATTTTAAAACGATATGTCGTATAAATCTTGAAAAAAACAATCTAAGATTGAAAACAATCTTGCAGGTAAGTCCAATAATCACTTTTGTTTACGGGCTACGCAATAATGGAGGCGAAAAATCACCATCTGATTACAATATATTAATAGAATCGCGAGAACGCAATATCGCAGCGACGAGTCGTAGAAACAAGTACCTCTTCAAATTGAACTTCGATTGACGCTTAAGAATAACGCCTGTTATAAAATGTTATGGAAATAGCGATTAATAACGTACAAGACCACGTTCGAACGTGGCTAAAAATTAACAAGAGATCGAGCCATATTTATATCGAAGAACGATAAAATACGTCTGCTGAAGTCAAGTCGCGCGTGTGATTGACACGCCGCGACTTCGTATACTGACGAAACAAATAATTACGATAAAATGAAGAAAAAAATTGTCAGAAAAAATTGTGTTAATTAAGAGACTTATTCTTCGCATACTCTGTGTGTATTGCACGAAGATTTTTGTACGGTTTTTAAATAGCGATTTGGAAACGATAACTTTCAAAACGATTAACGCGATTAGTGGCTTATGATTGTCAAGCGTGCACTTTGTACGCGCTAAACATGTGACGATAACGTTACGTTTAATTCTATTTAACTGCGTTATCGTCTGTCAGCCAAATTTGTCGTATCTTTTAATGTACCATATCATGTTTGACTCGATTAAAATTTTTTCTTATATATCTGAAAATTTAGTATCCGTTAAAAAATCTCATTCCTTATTACTTTTATTTTTATTTATTTATTTTTTTATTAATTTAAGTTGCACAAATAAGTATCAATATTTTAAAATTACAAAAACATAAGTGCTTTCACTTTTCAAAGTTTACATTTTTTTGTCTTGAAGTATAAAACTGTAGATGTAAAATATATATAAAGAAACAAAGATGCATAAGAGAGAGGGAGAGAGAGAGAGAGAGTTTGACGCGTTGCGCGTTGCTCGAATACCAATTCGCTCTCTCTGGATAATTACGTGCTAATCTTCGTGATTTGACATAATTACATCTATGCGAGGTTTTCGCTTGATGTCACGTTCATCTCTTATCAAAATATCGCTCTTCGTGGAATGAAAACGTGCTCGCTCAGCGAAAGCACAAAGTAATCGCGCATAGGCTAGACATTCCGTGATGAACGGAAGAATACCGGGGAAGACTCCACGTCGAAACCTGTAGACTAAGACATTAAAGAAATGAGTGCCAAGGAGATGAATGTGCGAGACGACATTTAGCTTTCGAAGCGGGACGCAGCCCTGACGTAAATTCTATTTGCACTGTGATAAGAGCCACATAAATTTAGAGTATCGATGCTTACGTCAAAAAGACGAATTACAAAGAGCTTACTTCCTATCTGTGTTAAAAATCCAAGAATAAGTAGAACGTCTGATTAAAGTCGTGAAGAGTCGAGAACATGTAAAACGTCGATAATCGCGCCAAAGAAATAGCACAGGATTGCTTCGCTCGGTGGGCGAAAAAGAACTGTCAGCAGTGTAAAATCGTTCAAATTTTGTATCTCAATCTTTCAAGTAGGTATTTCAAATCATCATCGGTATCGGTATGTTCGGTATCGTGAAGATGAATCTAGTAAGATATTTATAAAATCACACGATATTGATTAGTACTGCTCTGTTCTGTCAGTTTCCTCTATAATATTTCCTGTCAGTAGAATTTATCTTGTTAAGAAACATAGTAATACTCTTATAGTAGTTATAGTACCTAAAATATAAATAGCACATATAAAACGGAAGGATAATAAATTACAAATAATAGATTAAGGCAAAATGTGTGTGTCGTCGACATATGTCCCTCGGTTACAAAATTACAAAGTAATCTTTACTATAAAATTTTTCACGCGTATCAATGTATCGAAATACCTACTTGAAAGATTGAGATACAAAATTAAAAAATATCAGGAGTGATACTTGCTAAGGGAATTTAATAGCGGAAACATCGCGCAAAATGGACGATGACGATGAGAACTCGAACGAAATTGCAGAGTTGATAATCGTGAATCGTAATTGTCTTTTAGCTCTTATCATCCTGCTGTCCCAGTAGCACATAAAAAGATACGGTCTCCCTAACCGAGGAATCCCACCGTATCTGCTACTGGATCGATATCCAGTGCCGCCTGACGTTGCTTACGCTTGCGTGACTGTGTAGAGTATCCAGTAAAATTCCACGATCTTTTCTAACGGACCTGGTCGCATAATTATTACGCGTCATTATTGATGACCTGATGTGTCTATGCAACCAGTGCATAGATAAACGCTCATTGACACACATAGAATCGTTTCCAACGCAAAGCCTAGGTTAATAATCGACGATTAAACGCAATATAATACCACATACTCAGTGCTTGGATCTTTATCATTTACACACGGACCCGTAGACCTCTTCTTGTTTAGCAACAAAAACGTATAGCAATTAAATAATAGGAAAAAGGGCTAATTCCAGTTCAAGCACAGGATTAATAGTGCTATGTACCATATGGGTAAAACCTTCCTTGTGTTAGGAAATAAAGCAAAACGTATAGTGTGTCTAAACTGCCATGATATCATTATTGTCAGTCGATTGTGTTAAAACGATATTCATCAATTACTGTAAAATAATAACTACTCGGAGAATATATGCATATATTATATATTTTCTTTCATATACATTATTTTCAATTTTATCAGGTTTTTTTAGCGATGCGGGAATAAACCCAAAGGAATATTTTATATTAAAATCACATACATTTCAAAGTTCCTAACAGATAAATAGCTCAGATGGAATGAGAAAATAACAAATAAAGATAGAACATTAATTTATTCTACGATTACAAAATCCTATAATAAAGTTCTTTCTCAATGTGCACTTTACCGAAAAAACGGATGTTATTTCTTTCCATATTTTTTATTTTTTTTTATATTAAATATCTATGGTATGAGTAAAATTTTGATGAATGCATGCACTACGAGTTACTTTCCAACAAGAGCATTTAATGTCTATATTCGACAATTTATATAATTGATCAGACAGTAAATGAGATTTCGTTTCGCCGGATCAGTTAAGGGTTAATTTCGACAGACTTAGAGTTAAAGGTCAAGACAACTTGCCCTTAACTTCGTGTACGATAGGCCTACCCTTCTCTCGCACTCTTGCACATAAACGCATTTCGCCAAGTCGGCGACACGCTCACGCCGATACAACTCAATCAAGGCCTCGATCGACGAGAAAGAAATTTCCGTCGTTATCTGCCGTCTGCCGACGCTTCGTCGATTAATTCCCGACGACAGTCCCGGAGAGGGTGCGAGAGGGGCGACCGGTGGCTACTTCTCGTTGACCCCCTCCGGGGGATCGGGCCAAGCATACTGGACGTGCCCCCCGGACCCAAGCAAACCATTGGGCCAATTAGCCGCGACGTGGACGTCGGCGACGAGGACGATCAGCGCGATAAGCATGTAGAACTACTTGACACGGCCTCAGGATCGTTACTGAGGACGAGAAGTTTGTTCCGAGGATGCGAAATGTTAGATAATAAATTATGCGCCAGGGATGTAAAAGAGAAACTATCGACTACCACTTCAAACCGAAACTTCTTTTTATCTTGCTCTTTTCCAGAAAAAAATTCAAAGCAGCCACTATTTGTTTGCAATGAGTTGCTTGGCATTGGACATAGTGATCGAGAAGTTTCCCTTGGAACGCTCATGTGGCGACAATGTTTTGTTTTTATATTGTTGAAATTTTACCAAGCCGTGTGTTCTGAAGGAATGATTCTTATTGTTATAAACATACAGTGTATAGTAGTCAATAATAAAAGAATATATTATACAAATTGAATCTGAAGGATCAAAATTCTTTAAAAAAGAAAAAAATGGAATTACACAGTTTTACGTTGTAATTGAATAGGCGATACAATTTTCGAAAAAGACAAGTGAACTTTGAATTTTTCAAAACACTCTTGCAACTTCGCATTCAATGATGATGTATTATTTTCATAGTTATCGCAATTAGTAGCTCCCTTTATAGATCCTATGCAGTTCTTCGTACGCTATATTGCCGCAGTTAATTCTTGATTCTCGTGGAATTTTCCAAGCTAATCGACATTATTAAATCTTACATTGTTGCCAGCGTAAGTCGCGTTACGTCATGATGAATTTACTTCAATTGCATTATACTGACGTAACGTTCGCTAATATATTTCGATTAAATCAGGTTGCATACGCGAAGCATCTCACGCCATCAATGATCACTTTGGCCCTATTTGCATGAGGCTTTCTGGCTTATGCGACTTATCAAACCTCGTATACTATGATACTAGCGTTAATAATATAACACAACGGAGCAATGCGATAACGTCGCTAGAAAATCCAGGAAATTTCTTGGAAACTCGTAAATTGTCCAAATATCAA